GGATGATTCTCTATTGCGATAACCATACACATAGCATAGGTGTGCCTACACATGGCATAGGTCTGTGGTCCCTAACCCTCAGCTGTGTCCTCTTAGGAACTGGGCCAGGCATCACTGTCTGAGCTCCGCACCCCAGCCCTCAATCTATGGAAAAATTGTGTTCCATGAAACTTACGAACTGGGCCACACTGCAGGAGGTGAGCGGTAGGTGAGCAAGCAAGGCTTCCTCTGTATTTATAGCTGCTACAGCTGCTCCCCGCCCCTTGCCCTGCCTCGGTGGAAAAATTGCCTTCCATGAAACTGGTCCATGGTGCCAGAAAGGTTGGGGACTACTGGCATAGGTGATTCAACAAAGCCACATGATCCTCTGACTTTGAGTCCTTCTACCTGTTCTCTGTATCTCAGTTCAACCTTCTAAGTCAGGAGCGTCTTATTGAAGTCACTCACATTCAGTCAAATTAACCAAGACTTGGGCTCTCTTTTATTGCTGTGATGTTGGGGGAAATTTGTTGAGTTCAGGAAAGAAACTCTTGTGTCCAAAATCCAGAAATGGTTTACGACCCTAAAAATAGTAGTTTTAGCTATTGTCTGACTTGATTGTGAAATTGGAGACTTTGAGGAGAGCTGTTCTCTGGTAGTTTCAGAAAGGTTTTTAGTAGCAGGCAGTGGTTGAGAAGTTTAGTCTGTTCCAATAAGTGGTCCAATCAGAAATGCATAACATGGCAAATGGAGCCCAAAATTCAATTCAGGAAAAATGCTATGTTATAGTGAGATAGCTGCACTATCAAAGTCTGTCCCACTCTAGTTTGGTGCTATCTGGTGGCAATTTTTTTTCCCATTGATGGTTATATGACCATGGAAAGAATTCTGGGTCCTGTGACTAGATGGGACTTCCAGGCCAGTAGCAAAGATTTCAGATGTTTTCCCTGTTTGGCACCCATTTTGTTGGTCTAATCTAGGAAGATACTGTGTCTGCGAAATGTAGATTAGGGACTTGAGAACCATTCTTTACCTCCCTCTTCCCCAAGACTGGATTACCTGCTCTTTCTTGACCTGGTCTGGTCTTCTGCTTCATATCTTTGCCACCCTACCCTATCCCTAGCAGAGAATAATAACTTTAACTTGTTCCATCAGGCAGAGGATAGGAGTCAGTTGTCTTATGCTAATGTGTGTTATTTTGGGGTTTTACTGCATTTGAAGTACTGATTCTCTTACTCCAGGAGTTTAAGAACAATCTACTTGTTTGTGCCAAGGATATTAGCTATTTATTTTTTTCTGACTCTTGATCACATTGTTAGGTACAGTTTTTAGTTCACCAAGTCATGTGATTGAACAAGTCTATGTAAGGTTCTTACGTTGAACCAGCTTTCGTAAAAGTTGTATTCATTGTTTAAATTATTCTGGATTGGAATGGCATTAAAGGATATGTTAACTTAAGGATTATCCTAACATTCTTTATTGCTAAATTGAGACTTTTGAAATTATGGTTGACCATTGAACTGAGGGTATTAGGGGCATGGACCCCCAGTGCAGTTGACTCCCACCAAAATTAACTGGTAATAGCCTACTGTTAACCAGAAGCCTTACCAATAATATAGTTGGTCGAGTAGATGGAATGGAGGAAGAGGAGGAGGAGAGGTTGGTCTTGCCATCTCAGGGGTGGCAATTTTCCGTATACGTGGACACGCCTAGTTCAAGTCCATGTTGTTGAAGGGTGAGCTGTACTTCATTTCTACATACATACAAAAATGAAATCTGACCCAAATTGTTAGCACTTTGGCGTAGATTTACTTGTATTATCTAGAACTTACATGAGTTTTTCTAAATAAATCTGTTTTATAAGTAGCATTATATATTTATGGAGGAGAGATTTTTCAAAGGATTCCCATAGACAAGAGTGTCCTCCTAGTTCTGTAGATTGTACAGTTAGAAATGATTCCCCTTTCAGGGAGTATTTACCTGTGTTGCAAAAGGACAGCAAACTACTAGGTCTAAAACAAATCATCACACAGAAGCATTTTCTTTTTCCATATTACAGATTTATTTAGTTAAGTAAGGTCTTGTTATATTTTGAATGACATTTACTTGCCGAACTCTCCAGTGATTTCCCTCATGCTTATAATGAAATTCAGACTTTTATCATGGCTGTCATCCATATTATCTGGCTCTGGCAGCTCTCTGACCCTCTCTCATTAAGACTCTCTATTCTCTCAAATTATGGCTCCACATGTATTCTTTCTATTCTTCTTATGTATCACTATCCCTCCTGCCTCCTTTGTGCTTATTGATACCTAAAGCTCTTCCTTCAGATCCTCAGTACTTGGCTCACATATCATCTCCTCAGTAAAGATCCTTTGCTTACCAAGCAAACTAAAGTAGTTGCCTTGACATACTTTTTTTGGACCTAATAGTTTCTATTTTATTACCCCTTTTTATAAACTTTATTGCATTAATTAGCTGAAATTGCCCTGCTTTATTATTGGTTTACTCCTTAGACCACAGACTCTGTCACTAGACAGACTGGTCTTCAGTCCTCTCTGTCTTTGCAGTATCAGGTAGGGTTCTCTAGAGAAATAGAACCAATAGGAGATATATCTAGAATGAGATTTATTTAAGCAATTAGCTCATGCAATTCTGAAGTCTGTAAAGTCCTGTAGTCTGCTGTCTGCAAGCTGGAGATCCAGGAAAGCTGGTGGTGTAATTCCAAGTTCTGAGAGGTAGAGAGCTTATAGTATCTGAAGTATCCAGTCTGTATCTGAAGGCTTGAGAGGCAGCTCAAGCAGTCAGGTAAAGAGAGAATTCAACTTTCTTCCAGGCTTTTGTTCTGTTCAGGCTTGGATTGGATAATGTTTCCACACATTGGGGAGGGTCTTCTGCTTTCCTCGGTTCAAAAATTCAAATACTAAAGTCTTCCAGAAAACCCTCATAGACAAATCCAGAAATAATGTTTAACCAGATATCTGGACATCTGTGGCCTAGTCAAGTTGACATATAAAATTGACTATCACACTCAGTTACCTCATAAGATTATTGTCATAAAGATTAAATGGTTTAATATATGAAAAACACTTAAATTAGTTTCATGTACATAGAAGCAATATGCTACCTGCTATTATTAATATCATTATTATTATGTTAGTGATTTTGTCTGCCATCTTCACTTCTGTATCCTAACCTCCAAAAATAATACTTTGAACATAGTATGTGTTCATTGAATATGTATTGAGTGAATTAAAATGACTTATACCTTAATAAGGATAAATTTCTTATGTAAAATAATAGAGCCTAAATATTTCTGCATATGAAATGTTTATCATGTTGTACTGTATTTTACCAGTGAAAATAGTTGATTTTGGTAGTATGCATATTACATTTGTTTTTTTTTTTAGTATATATTTTTTCCATGATGGTTTTAAAGGTTAAAACATGAATATTAGTTGCATTATACAAGCATATTTTCATATTTGAGTAAGTTTTTTTTTTCCTGAGACAGTCTCACACTGTTGCCTGGGCTAGAGTGCTGTGGCATCAGCCTAGCTCACAGCAACCTCAAACTCCTGGGCTCAAGCAATCCTTCTGCCTCAGCCTCCTGAGTAGCTGGGACTACAGGCATGCGTCACCACGCCTGGCTATTTTTTTATATATTTTGGTTTGTTAGCAATTCTTCTTCTCTCTCTTCTCTTCTCTTCTCTTCTCTTCTCTCTCTTCTTCTCTTCCTCTTCTCTTCCTCTTCTCTTCCTCTTCTCTTCTCTTTCTCTCCTCTTCTCTCCTCTCTTTCCTCTTTCTTCCTCTTCTCTTCCTCTTCTCTCCTCCTTCTCTTCCTTTCTTCTCTTCTTCCTCTTCTTCCTTCTCTCTTCTTCTTCTCTTTTTCTCTTCTCTCCTTTCTCTTCCTCTTCTCTCCTCTCTCTCCTTTCCTCCTCTTTCTTCCTTTCTCCTCTCTTCCTCTTTCTTCCTCTTCTTCCTCTCTCTTCTCTTCTCTTCCTCTCTTCTTCTCCCTCTTCTCTTCTCTCCTTCCTCTTCCTCTTCCTCCTTTTCTTCTCTTCCCTCCTCTCTTTCCTCCTCTCCTTCCTGTCCTCTCCTCTCTCTCCTCCCTCTCCTCTCCCTCCCTCTCTCCCTCTCTCCCCTCTCCTTCCTTCCCTCTCCCTCTCCTCTCCTCTCCTCTCCTCTCTCTCTCCTCTCCCTCCTTCTCCCTTCTCTCCCTCTCTCCTTCTCCTCTCCTCTCTCTCCCTCCCTCTCCTCTCCCTCTCCCTCTCCCTCTCCCTCTCCCTCTCCTCCCCTCCCTCCCTCTCCTCTCCTCCCTCTCCCTCTCCTCTCCCTCTCCCTCTCCTCTCCTCTCCCTCCTCTCTTCTTCCTTTCTTCCTTCCTTTCCTTCCTTTCCTTCCTTCTTTTTGTAGAAACAGGGTCTCTCTCTTGCTCGGCTGGTCTTAAATTCCTGAGCTCAAACAATTGCCCGCCTCAGCCTTCCAGAGTGTTTAGGTCACTCTGGAAGGCTCCCTCTCCCTTCTCCCTCTCCCTCTCCTCTCCCTTCCCTCTTCCCTCTCCCTCTCCTCTCTTCCTCTCCCTCTCCTCTCCCTCTCCCTCCCTTCCCTCCCTCTCCTTCTTCTTTCCTCCTTCCTTCTCCTTCCTTTCTCCTCTCTTTTTGTAGAAACAGGGTCTCTCTCTTGCTCGGGCTGGTCTTAAATTCCTGAGCTCAAACAATCTGCCCGCCTCAGCCTTCCAGAGTGTTAGGATCACAGGCATGAGCCATTGCGCCTGGCCGAGAGACCATTTTTTGAGAGAAAAATTGGTGTTGCTATTTTTAAGAAAGACTGGGATAAACATACTTGTTTGCAGGTGAAATTGTTTGCATTTTAAATGAGGAGGTTTTTTTGTTTTTTTTTTTTTCAGTTTCTAACTTTTCACATTTTTTTCCCCAAAATGAAATACACCCTGAATATTTCTTTCATCTAGAAAGGAAGCTTTTGAATACATTTTTTTATTGAAATTGTTTTGCTTTACAGGTCTACTTCCCCAACAGGACAGCATCATTCTCCTATATCTTCTAGGCATCACTCATCTTCCTCTCAATCGGGATCATCTATTCAAAGACATTCTCCTTCACCTCGTCGAAAAAGAACTCCTTCACCGTCTTATCAGCGGACACTAACTCCACCTTTACGACGTTCCGCTTCTCCTTATCCTTCACATTCTTTGTCTTCTCCTCAGAGAAAGCAAAGTCCTCCAAGACATCGCTCCCCAATGCGAGAGAAAGGGAGACACGATCATGAACGAAGTTCACAGTCTCATGATCGGCGTCATGAAAGGAGGGAAGGTATGCACTGTACTCTAACTTGATTTTTTTTTTTTTTAGAGTTTTTTTACTTAATATATATTTTCTTTATTTAAAAATTGGACATCCATATTTATTGTTTTAATAAGGGATGGAGGGAAGACTATGCTATAATAAGTCTTCTTCTGTAACACAAACTAGAGTTTTTGAGGGCAATAGGAGATGCCTCAGGGAATATAAGCTATTAAGTATACATAAGAGGGCATTTACAGGTTTGGTAAGTTGGTGCTTTCTTTAGCTGAGATGTTTTACTGAGTATAGTACTGCAAAATTCTAGAAATTTTTGGTCATCTGATTGTTAAAGTGTGCTTTTCAATCGCTTTGTTAATATCTTTAAAAATGAAAGGAGATGAAGGGAAGAACAGCAGCAAATCAGGGAGCATAGTTTTAAGGCATCAGAAGTGTTTTGATAAAGTGATGAGGACTAGGGAAAGCTTTCAGAATGTCAGTATAAACCAAGTCATCAAAATTCGAGTCTAACTGATAATAAGGAAGTAAGCAGAGCAGTTTTCCTTGCAGGATCCCTGAGAATTAAGTTGACTTTGGATTTACTATCCCTATACAAGCTGAGATGCTGTTGTTACCTGGCAATAAAAATCTAATAGCTCTCATCTCTTTCTGTACTTCTTATCTAAGTTTCTTCTCCTTGTTGATTTAACTTAGCAGGTCTTTGTTTTTGAACATAGTACTCAGGAAATACTTGCTAACTTGCAACAACAATTCTGTTTAATATGCATTTTAAATGCCTCTCTAGCAGTCACCTATGAAACATGTTGAACTTAATTTCTTTCTGTCAGTGGTGCAAATAATAATTGTTTCTTTCAAGAAAGTTGTGGACACATGGGTAGGAACTGGAGAAAGCACCTGTTTTATAGAATTATTTTTTGTGTACATGATTTTGGAACCATGTCAGCACAATAGTGTTTATGGGACTTTGGGAAGATGGGAAAATCCTCTTATACTGTACCTATATCTATTAATTTTTAATAAGATACTTAACTAGAATTGATCAGGAATGTAATACACATTTAATTATTACTTACTGAATGAAAACTATGATTATTATTAAACATACTAATGAAGGGAAAATAATATGTCGTTGAATCTCACAGGAATTTTTTGTGTGTGTTATTAATAAGAAGGGCTTATGTTACAGAAAGAATCCTTTCAATAACAAACCATATATTCTTTTTAAGGAAGGTGTTTTTTTAACCTTCCTTAGAAGAGATTTAGCAGATTTTGTTCCTCTCTATTTAGAAGTCATTTTCTGAAATAAGGATAATTTCAGTAGAAAGATGAGGTAGGTAAAGAACAAATTATAATAACTAGATATATTTGTAAAGACAGATGGGGGCATCATGAAAAAAGAATCTTTTACTAACTGAATATCTTTTCAGGCACAGTTAGTATTAGAAAAGGATTAGAAGTGATATGTACAGAAATACATCAGATTTCTGGAGATACGTCAGATCCTTGCCTCTTGCTTCAGTCCTTAAATAGCATTTGTGGATATAGGTATATGGACAAAGGAATTGGCAAGGGAGATAGGTTATTGATGTGAAGGTCTAGGGTTCTTGTGAATACAAAGTGTTTGGGTCCTTGAGAAAGTCCACAGGCCAATGATGGGGGGCAAAGAGAAAAGAAGATGCAATATTTTTTAGGCCTAAGGCTACTAGAGTTGTTAAAGTAGTCTCAGATTGGGCAATTCCAGATTGTAAGAGCAATTTGTAGGAGAATTCTGTCAAAGGGTCAGGTTTATTCTTTGGGGCTTGTTAATTTTTTGGCTTCATGTCAGATTTATGGTATAATCAATTTATGCCTTCTCTAGGCATAGCTAAAGAGTGGTTTCTGATTTCTGCAAATTCCCATGAGATATGAGGTTGACTCAGCCATCTAAGCTTTGGGCCTCTATTTTTTTAATATATAAAATGGCAATTTTGGTTTAATCAGTGAGTCATTCCAGCTTTTTAAAAAATGAAATTATTTATTTTTCTGTGATATGTTAGAAAAGCTTTTAAAAAAATCAAAAGAAGAAGAAGAAGAAAGTAGTAAGGTATCACTGTTTCCCATACTGAACTCCAGCTGCTGGGCTCAAGCGATCCTCCCACCTCAGCCTCCTGAGTAGCTGGGAATACAGGTGTACACCCAACTAGAAAATGTTTTAAATAGAGAAAGCTTTAGAGACTATTGAACATGAGTGTGTTTACCATTAAACAGCTCAGGATAAAAGAAAATGAATATTAGTATCTCTTAGCCAGCCAGCTTACTAATTACAGGTTACTCTCAAGTATTTAAATACATTTGAGGTGGTCACATATGGTCTGGTCTAGCCTAGTCTAATGCTTGGTAGAGTGATTAGTCACTGTGTGCCTCTAGATCTAAAAGTGGTTTCTAAAAAGTAAGCTATCAGTGATATGAGATCAGCTTATTTGTTTCGCTTGTTTAGATCTGTAAGTATGGATGAGTTAAAACACAGGAATTTCGTATTCAAAGTTTATCCAATCAAGAAGAACATAGTTATCAAGTGTTAATAAAATTTTCTTTGGATAAATTATTTTAGCTTATGAATAGTTTTAATTTTCTTACTTGCCCATGTTTTCTCCTTTTTTCCCCCTGCAAAGAACATGAATTACCATTGTAATAAAAATCTAAAAGCTCTGTATTAAATATATTGTCTAGTTTCCTGAAACTTTGTAAAGGGAATTACAGTTAATTTCCAAAATTGCATTACAGAGACAAGAGGCAAACGGGATAGAGACAAGGATACAAGAGAAGAACGAGAGTATGAACAGGATCAGAGCTCTTCTAGAGACCACAGAGATGACAGAGAACCTCGAGACAGTCGGGATCGGAGAGACACCAGAGATACTAGAGACCGAAGGGAATTAAGAGACTCCAGAGACATGCGGGACTCCAGGGAGATGAGGGATTATAGCAGAGATACCAAAGAGAGCCGTGATCCCAGAGATTCTCGTTCCACTCGTGATGTCCATGACTACAGGGATCGTGACAGTCGAGATGCTCATCGAAAGGAGGATATGTATCTGGAAGAATCCCGTAGTTATGGCAGAAACCATTTGAGAGAAGAAAGTTCTCGTACTGAAATAAGAAATGAGTCTCGAAGTGAAATTAGAAATGACCGGATGGGCAGAAGTAGGGGGAGAGGTCCTGAGTTGCCTGAAAAGGGTAAGGTTTTTGATTTGTCAGTAAACTGTATCTTGTATGCTCATATGGAAAGTATTAAATCTAAGATATGTTTTCTATATTATTTCTTAAATTCAGTATCATTTTGTCAAAGTAATTTTCAGTTAGTTGAATTTGTAATCTTCTCTATAAATTCCTAGTCAGAATTACTAAAGTAGCAAAAAATAAATGGGGTCTGACCTAGAGCCCCCAGTTGAATTTCATCCAGTCGTGCCTACCATCTTCATTAGCATGGAATACCAAGAAAATTACTATTAGGCCAAAAAAAAAAAAATCATAAGGAAGTAATTGCTAATAAATAAGTGTATATATGATAAAATGATCATTTAAATAAAGTAGAATTGAGATGGTAGGTTTTCAAAATTGGTGTCAGAAATAACTGATTTGTATATTCTTCAGTATTTGTATTTGCTTCAAATCATTATATATCAGTTATCTTCAGCCATTTTTCTTTTTTTCCACCAAAAAGCATTTGCCATCACCCCAAATGTCTTAAATATATTTATGATTGGCTGCAAACTGCTAGGACTTAATTAGCTTGGACCTCCCTTTTCCTCCACCCCCTTCTTTTCCCTTCCCGAAACACTGCTGCAGAACTCTGATCACTCTTATTCTTTCATTTGTCTGTTGGTCAATCCCTGGTCAATATTACAGCTTCACATTTATGTGTTGAAGGTCCTTTAACTTCTTCAGAGTTATCTTGGCTTTTCTTGACCCTATAATTTTTCATATAAATTTTAGAAAACAGTTTTTAATTTCAGGAAAAGCTGTTGGATTTTAGTTTTCAGTGCATTAAATTTTTATTGATTTATAGTTTTTCCCACAAGATTTTAGAGACATTTTATTTCTGAGTACCCTCTCTTTTTGTGTCTCCATTTGTGTCTCCATTGTAAATGGTAGTGTAAATTTTAAAATTGTTTTAAGTTAATTTTTTTTTTAGATTGTGTGTTCAAATGCTTCAAAATTTCAAAAGTACAAAATGATATTTAGCAAAAAGCCTCCCTTCTACCTCTGACCACTCTTTTGCCAGTTTTGTATGTATTCTTCCCAAAAACATTTTACACAAGCAAATAGGTGTATCCATTTGTTTTTCCCTCTGGTTTTATAAAAATAATTTTTAAAAAAACTACATACTGTTTTTACTTAAAAATATTTTGGAGATCATTCTACATCATTCAGTGTGGTAACCTTCTTTTGTCACACAGTGTCTATTATGGAATCTATACAATAAAGTTAATAAGTCCTGCATTGATCGATGTTTAGGTTTTCCAGTCTTTTTCACTTTCAAACAGTGCTTTTAGCGAATAACTGTGTGCATGTGCCATTAAATTGTGTCTTTTAAAACATTACATTTTGTAATGGTTTGCTGGTACATGGACATGATAATTGATATTTGTAAATTAATCTTGTATTTAAATGACATTGCTATATTTTCTTAATAGATCTAATTAGATTCACTTAACCATTATGTCCAGGAGCAGACTGATTTGACTATTCTTTTCTGATTATTATTTATTTTCTCTTGATAACCTGCTGAGAATCTTCATTAATACAATGTTGATATTGTATTATTGATAATAATAATTGGAATGGGCTTCTTTACTTTGTTTCAGATTTTAAATGATTGTTGCTGGCTTTTCACAATTAAGTGTGGTGTTTGTAGATTTTTTGCAGATGGTTTTTATTGTTTTGAAGATTCTCCTAATTTTCTCAATTTAGCTAACAGTTTTTATTACTGTTGTTTTTTTCTCTATTGTGAGAAGATCATATAGTTTGTTTCTATTACCTTGTTCCTTATGTTAATATATTTTTAAAATTTAGAACTATCCATGCATTCCTGAAATAAGTACAATTTTGTCATTTTTTAAGAGTTCTTGAATAGGCTTGTTAAGATTTAATTTTGAATTAAGCATTTTTGTTTTTTGAGATCAGCATATAATCAGTGGTATAATGGTAAATGTTTAACAACTGACTCTTCAGGAAAAAATTCCTGATTTTTAGCTTTTGCCAATTTCCATGATATAAATAACTCCTACCATAGCAGACTTGGAGCCACTAACATGGTATTACTCAATGTGGAGTTGGAAAAAGAAGCCTACAGTTGACTCTTAATATACCCGTATGAACCAGTTCTAACATTACACTGCATTGTTTTCATTTTTTATGTTGTCTTTCTTCAGGAATCAATGTTATAATAGCCACATAAAATGTGTTGCTTCTTTTTTTCTCTTCTCTGAAATAATTTATCTATGATTGGTTAGCTGTTCTTTGAAAGTTTGATAACATTTGTCTGATGGTTAGAGCTTTTATTACCAAATGAGTTTCTCTAATAGTTATAGATTTGGGTAGATCATATAGTTTGTTTCTATTACCTTGTTCCTTATGTTAATATATTTTTAAAATTTAGAACTGTTTCTTTTTGAAGCAGTTCTAGTAAATTATATTTTTGCAAATTTTTGTTTTCAAATATTTGGTAAAAAGATATTACTAAATTTCTTTTATAAAAATCTCTGTTATACCTGTGGTTATATTCCCTTATTTTTTCTTGGTCAGTCTTGCCAGAGGTTTGTCCATTTTGTGTCTTTTCAAAGACTTAATCTTTAGTTTTGTTTATATTCTTTTGTATCTCTTGGTCTATTTCATTAATTTCTGCCCTTGTGTGTGTGTGTTGTTTGTTTTTTTTTTTTTGACATCTGTAGTATTTATATTAGTGCCCGTCCTAAACACTCTGTAAATTTTAATATGATTTCTTGTTTGACTTATGAGGTTTAGAGAAATAGGATTTTAAATTTCCAGTTATGCTTTTTATAATATGCCCCCCTCATTTTAATTGTCAGAGAATACCCTGTTCAATATCAGTTCTTTGATATGTGTGTTTGTTAAAGCTTATTTTGTGGCTTGGTCTGTATTTATAAATGTTATACATGTGGTTTTAAGAAGGTTGTGTTTTTAATGGTCAGATGCAAAGTGTTCTCTGAGGACAAATTTGTTAACTGTACTTTCAAATTTACATCTAATAATTTTAAGAGGTGAGTTAAATTTTCCACTGTCATCGTGGAATTTGTGGGCTTGATTTCTTATAGTTTGATTGCTTTTTTATTTGAATATTTTGAAGTTTTGCTATTAGGGACACATAAGCTAAGTTATTTATTCCTTTTATCATTATAGAATGATCCTCTTTATCCCTGATACAGGTTGAGCATCCCTAATCCAAAAATCCAAAATCTGAAACTTTTTGAGTGCTGATGTGACGCTCAAAAGATAGGCTTATTGGAACATTTCAGATTTTTGATTTCAGATTAGTGATGCTGAACCAGTATGATGCAAGTATTTCAGAATTTTAAAAAAGAAGTCCAGAATTCAAAACACTTCTGGTACCAAGCATTTCAGAAAATGAATGCTCAACCACCTGTATTTTGTCTTGAAGATTATTTTGCTCACAGCTCTCTTTTGGTTAGTATTTGTTTGATAGGTCTTTTTTCATCATTTCAACTTTTCTATATCATTTTGTTTTAAATGTGACTCTAAACAACATATAGTTATTAGATATATGCTAAATTTAATTGTACCTTCCTTGATTCTTAACTTTTCTTTCAAATTTTTTCTCTTTTTATTTCTGTTTTGCCATCTGAGGGCACGTCCTCAGACTTATCTTCTAGTTTACTACATTTTTCTTGGCTGCATCTAATCTGATGTTTAACCCTACATTCTGAGATGTTATATGTAGCCCTCTTGTTGTCTTTAAAAATGTTATAATTTTTTCTTCTTGTTCTCTAATTATTGCAGTATTCTTCACAGATATTTTGACTGTTTAAACACTATGTTATCGTATTTAGAATTATGCTATAATTCTTTTAAGGCTCAAAACCTGTCACATTTATGTTCTTTTTTGTTTTTGTTTGATTTTTAAATCTTGGGGAAGTGCCTTCTGATTCTCACTTTGGGTGAGTTTGGGTGAGTTTTTCATATGTTCTTGTAAGTTTGAGTGAACTCATCTTCATCAGGGTTTATCTATGATAATTCTATGAGGTTGAACGCAGGGCCCTTCAGAGTTTCTGTCTTTGTCTCTGCCACGTATTCCTACATTATCACAGCCACAGTACTACTTCTCATTCCTTACTCTAACCTCCTCCCCTCAAACTTCAAAAATTTGCTTTTATTTTGAAGTAATTAGGGATTCACAAAAGATTGCAAAGCAATGTACAGAGATGCTTTGTGCACCCTTTCTCCAGCTTCCCCAGTGTTAACATCTTATACACCTACAATGCAGTATCAAAACCAAGAAATTGACATTGGTACATAGAGCATATTCACATTTCACTAGTTATACATGCACTGTGGTGTGTGTGTTCCTCTGAGCAGTTTCGTCACATGTGTAGCCCATCTGCACAGTCAAGATATTCAACTATAACATCCTAAGATTCCCTTGTATCACCCCTTTATAGCCACACCCATCCTCTCTCCCTGTCCCTGACCCCTGGCAACCTCTTATATATTCTCCATCCTAGAATTATGTTATTTTATAAAATGCTATATGTATCCTGTTGAAATTGGCTTTTTCACTCAGCATAATTTTCTGGGGTTCATCCAAGTTGTTGGTTGTACCAAGTTTGTTTTTTATTATTGCTGAGTAGTAGCTCATGGCATTCACCCATTGAAGACAGTTGGGTGCTTTCCAATTTGGGGCTGTTACAAATAAAGCTACTCTGAACATTTGTTTCCCACATCTGTTAATGAAAAATTTCAGATACCACTTAATGTAGCCAAAGTACCTCGGTTCTATGTTGGAATGTTTTCACTGTAAACTGTAATTAAAGCATATTTTCATTTTTATATTTCTGTGAAATAGATATGAAGAAATAGTTTTTGGGGGGCAGTAATTTTAATGAATCTTCTTATTTTATGATTTCATTATATGACTTTTCTATAGATAGGGAAAACTGAGACTTAGGTCACTCAAGTCAGTCATTGGACAACGTGAATGTTCTAATGCCATGCTTATATTCTTTTCATCAGTGATTATTATTACACTTTGAAATACAAAAAAAATCTATTAGTGTTTCTTAGGAGAAAAGACTGGGACTGATAATCTGCTGAATAAAGTATATGTGATAAACATTTGTGTGACTATCCTTTGTTTAGGAAGTCGAGGCACAAGAGGTTCTCAAATTGAGAGTCACAGTAGTAGTAGCAACTATCATGACAGCTGGGAAACTCGAAGTAGCTATCCTGAAAGAGACAGATACCCTGAAAGAGACAGCAGAGATCAAGCAAGGGATTCTTCCTTTGAGAGAAGACCTGGAGAGAGAGACCGTCGTGACAACAGAGAGAGAGGTTTGTCAAATGGAATTTTATTAAATAGTGACCAACATTAGTTGGGGGAATTGTTTTTTAAAACAGTTATCAATTAACTTATTAATATGAAATATAATTTTAAGACCTGTGCTTGATGATACATTTGAAACTATTTACTCTTATAATCTTCTTTGTTCACCTGGTTTAGGAGGGATTATGTAAATAGCTAGTGACCATCACCTACTGGTAACAGAGTGTAAGAACTGAGACGCCCTGCTGTGAATCTCTCCTCTTGACCAAATAGCTCACAGCCCTTTAAAGAATGTGGATGGCTGGATGCCATCCAGGCAATTCTGATTCAGATAATACATAAACCTCATCTAAGTATCCTCTGGCTACTCACTCATTAGCTGTAATCGATAGAATCTTATAAGGACTGCCAAAGAGGAGCAAGAAGAAAATGATGATAGGGCTGGGAATTGTTTGAAGAAATATTTTGTTTATATTCATTTCATCCTGAGAATATATAATATTTGCTTTAGCTAATTTTATGTTTTTATATGTCTTAAGTTAAAACTTATCTGTTGATTCATTAGATGATCTCTTACAGAAATCAAATTTGAAGCAAGATTACTAGGAAGCACTTAAAAAAGGTTTTTTAAGTACTTTTCTTTGGCAAGTGCTTATTGTCTGTACATACTAGGGCCTTTAAACACTTAAAGTTTTATGAAGGTCTTACCTTGGCTGATTACTAAAGTAATGTTCACTATAATGCTGAGATTAATATAGTTTAAAACCTGATGAACCAGAGAATTGAATATTAATGCTTTACTGTGGGCTGAATCAAAGAGGTAATATTGTATCTTGATATGGGCAGTAATGAGAGGAGAACAAAGTGTCTAAGACACCATCTTCTTGGGGAAGCATAGATGAGATCAGAGGCAGGAGAATTGGTTGGGTTGAGTTCATTAAGGTAAAGCCCTGATGCATTTGGGTTAAAAGATGTATAGCATTTCTTCAGTTACAGATAGGGCTGCAGTTGGTATGTTCTGTGTTGCTATCTGAAATTATTTCTTCCTTGGCACTTTGATTTACCTCTCTTTAGTACTAATGTCCTGGCGATTTTTTTTTTTTTTTATGTTTTACTTTTTTTCTTTTTTCCTATTTTTATATCCTACCTAGCTCAGGGTTTTTCACCACATGCCCGATTTCAGTAATAACATTTGGTTTCAGTCTTACAGATAGTTCAACCACACATACTGAGCTTTGCTAGGTGCCAAGAATTTGGATAGTTCCTTTCCATATATTCTGATCTTAATCTTTGCAATATCCCTATAAGTGTAGGTATGATAAAAATAATCCATGTTTTATAGTTTTGGAGATTAGATCTAAGAGAAGTAAGTTTCCAGCATTACAGAGAAGTTCTAGAACTGGAATTCAAACTCAGATCTTCTAAGTACAAGTCTAGTTCTCTTTCTATTTTATTTTATTATAACTACTTCAGTAAAATATCAGTTATATGATTGAAAGAGAAATATATTTTTGAGATTAATCATATATTTTATAAATGTTTATTAAGCATCCATGCCAGGTACTTTGCTAGGTACTTAGGTTACAGTAGTTCCTGTCCTTATAGAAAACTTAACCCCCTCCAGAAAAAAAATGATCATTGATTGCTATCTAGGAAACAAAGAAGCAACCCAGGTGGAAATTAAGAAAAAAGAGAGGGAGCTGTTTTAGACTGTTTATAAAAAAATTGAGATGATTTTTATACAGAGGCATAAATGCAAGAGAAAAGGCTAGCTTTGCAGAGATTGAGAGTAAAAGAGGAAAGAGTATGTGCAAATTCCCTGAGATGGTAAATAGCCTAATATTTCCTAAAATTTGAAAGAAGACTAATGTGGCTAGAGAATACTGAGCAATAGGGAGATTATTAGAAGTAGAAGGTAGAGATGTACCCAGGCATCTTGTTCTGTGCTTGGGGATTTAAATCTTATATTTATTTCTTTGTAGTCTAAGCACAAAACAGTCTGCCATCTGTACCCCCAAGTTCTATATCCTCAGATTCAACCAATTACAGATCAAAAATATTTGAAAAAAATAGCAATACAGGCCGGGCACAGTGGCTCACGCCTGTAATCCTAGCTCTCTGGGAGGCCGAGGCAGGCGGATTGCTCCAGGTCAGGAGTTCGAAACCAGCCTGAGCAAGGGTGAGACCCCGTCTCTACTATAAATAGAAAGAAATTAATTGGCCAACTAATATATATAGAAAAAATTAGCCGGGCATGGTGGCGTATGCCTGTAGTCCCAGCTACTTGGGAGGCTGAGGCAGAAGGATTGCTTGAGCCCAGGAGTTTGAGGTTGCTGTGAGCTAGGCTGACGCCATGGCACTCACTCTAGCCTAGGCAACAAAGCGAGACTCTGTCTCAAAAAAAAAAAAAATAGCAATACAACAAAAAAAATACATAAATTAAAAAATAATAATAGAGTATAACAACTAAATAGCATTTATATTGTATTAGGTATTATAAGTAATATAGAAATAATTTATACAGGATGCTATATATAGGTTATATGCAAATACCACACCATTTTATATAAAGGAGTTGAGCATCCTTGGGTTTTGGTATCCATTGGGGGGAAGTGGTGGTTCCAGGATGATTCAAGTGCATTACATTTATTGTGTACTTTATTTCTATTATTATTACATTGTAATACATAATGAAATAATTATACAACTCACCATAAGGAAGAATCAGTGGGAGCCCTGAGCTTGTTTTCCTACAACTGGACGGTCCCATCTGGGGGTGGTGGGAGACCGTGACTGATCTGACAGGAGGTGGAGCTCAGGCCATGATGCAAGCTATGGAGAGCAGCTATAAATACAGATGAAGCTTTGCTCATTTGCCCTTTGCTGGCTGCTCACCTCCTGCTGTATGGACCCATCTGTGGCCCAGGGCTTGGCAACCATACCTGTAAACAATCCCCCATGGATACAGATAGACAATTGAAGTATGATAAATGCTACTACCATATAAAGTTCTGTGAGAAGACAAAGGAGCAAACACAATTCTAAGGAATTCAAGAAAGCTGCCTAAAGAGGTAATGTCTGAATTAAGGCCTGTGGATACACAGGAGTTGATAAGGAATGATGGAAGAAGCACTTTTCAGGGAGAGGTGCAGCATGTGCAGACACCAGGATTGAAAGAAACAGATGCTTTGGAGTAGTAAAGAATTATGTTATGAGGTTAGAGTCAGAGGTATGCTGTGATTGGCAGGGACGGAAAGAAGCTGGGGGAAAGGACTGATGAGAGACTATCGGCCAGCTTATAAATGACCTAATAAGTCAAGACTAAAAATTATGAATTTAATTGCCTTTCACTGCCTATAAGATAAATTCTTTTAAGCAGCTAGAAGAAGTCGAGTTTTCAACAAAAACATACTAAGAGTGTAGAAAAAGACTGAAGATAAGGATACCAATCATATTATTACTATTTTTCAGTTATACTATTGATGACAGTCATTAGGGCCTGTGGATACACAGGAGCTGTAAGTTGACAGTCATCTAAGAAGAGTTAATCAAGGTCTGAGTTAATATTAACTATTGAGATGGGGGGACAAGGAAAGAAATAGAGAAATATTTTGGAAGTGAAGTTGATGGTACTTAAATAACTCAGAGATTGCCAGCTTTCATGAATTGCTGTGTCACTCATTAAGATAAGGAAATATGTGAAGAGAAGCACATCTTTATAACACATTTGGAGGAAAGATAGGGAAAATAGTTTAGACATTAAAGTGATAGTTTTATATCCTTTCCATTTTCCTTTGAAGTAAGAAGCATTTGGTTCTTACTTCATTCTCATTTTGGTTGGGAAAATAAAGGTTTCATCTTGCAAAAAAGAATGTCTGAGTAATAATCAATTCCCTGATGTAGCCATAAGCAGAAATTTCAAGTATGAATTGCTATAAGTTGCAGTATTGAATAGGTTATTTTCTAATCATTGTGATATTGGTATGACTCCCCCCAAAAAACTAGGAATTTAGACAATCTAAAACATGGATAGATAGCATTCTAGGAATCCAAAATGTGATATAATAAAACCTTTTTAAATTTAAATTGGTTTTATAGCAAAAGTAAAAGGATTTAAGAAAACTGACTTCTAGTTCTAATATCCTAATGGATCTACCATCTCTGTGACTTTAGCAAGTGAATTCTAGACCATAACTTTTATATTTTTAAGAAGAAGGGCAGAAAGGACTACATGGGGTTTTATTTGGTTCAGCTTTAAAATTCTATAATCTTGTATCTGGATCTATAACTTCTAACTAGTAAATATCAATTATTCTTGTGTTTTTCATCAATGATAAGGAAGGAAAATTTAAATTACTATATTGAACCCTTTCCTGGAAATATCCTAAAATTATTAAGTTAATATTAGATATTCCACTTACCAACCTTTTGGCCATATCGTAGTATGATCTTTATCAACTAGCCAATAGACATTACATGATATAAAGATAGAAACATCACAGAAGCCTAGATCATACCACAGTAGTTGCTTTTAAAAATGGCTATCTCTTTGGGAAAGTTCATGCCATCCTCTTATACATTTTTTGATCCCAGACTAGTTTTCTGCTCAACTGGGTATTTGGGCAGCACGTATTCATTTTCTCTGTTTATATGATTCTTGCGTAGATTTAAAAAATATATATTATATGTGATGAGATTATCAGTTAATATTTTAAGAAAACAGTTCTTCATCTGACTAATCACTTATATGATTAAGTGAAACTTTTAATTTATTAGTTATTAATTATGAATATATAATATGAAATACTTCTTTACATTTGATTATTTCAAGATTGCTAGACAGTACCCTTAATATTCTAGTTTATGATAAGAGATTGATATTGCAGCAACAAATTTTGACATATGTTTTGTTCTACTATATTTTCCTCACATAATAGCTGCACTTTGATATGTATATATTTTGGCCTGAAATTAGAGGTGTGACTTACAAGGGGAATTTTTTTTTCCTTCAGCTTCTATGTTCTACACCTCCTGCTGCCCCTATCCTTTGCCACCAGTGTTCTCAGGTCCTGCTGGGGGGACAGAGAAGATCAGAGGTGAAGGGTAGAGATGGCAGAAAGTGGGGTTGGAGCAGTGGGCTGGAGGTAGGGTAGGGAGCATGCAGAGAAAGATTAAAGGTGGATCAGCGGGAGGGGAGAGGGGGTTTGATGGGGAGCAGAAAACATGATAGTTAGAGGGCAAATAAAAATTATCTTTTAAAAATATATTTTTAAAAGGTCTAGTAGTGATGATTATTTATATGATTAAATTAAAATTAAATATAGCGCCTGGTTAATAATTTGTTGCCAGTGTGTCCCTATACACAGATAAAATTTAAGATATGCCGTGCTGTCTTACCAATAGGTTATCTGTCAAATTAATCACTGACAAAACTTGATTTTCATTGTAGATCAAAGACCAAGCTCACCAATTCGACATCAGGGAAGGAATGACGAGCTTGAGCGTGATGAAAGAAGAGAGGAACGAAGAGTAGACAGAGTGGATGATAGAAGAGATGAAAGGACTAGAGACAGAGATCGGGAACGAGAAAGAGACAGGGAGCGGGAGAGAGAAAGGGAACGTGAACGGGATCGGGAAAGAGAAAAAGAAAGAGAACTAGAAAGAGAGCGTGCTAGGGAACGGGAGAGAGAAAGAGAAAGAGAAAAAGAGAGAGACCGTGAAAGAGAGAGAGATCGTGACCATGATCGAGAGCGAGAAAGAGAGAGGGAACGAGATAGGGAGAAAGAGCGGGAGCGAGAGAGAGAAGAAAGGGAAAGAGAGAGAGAACGAGAACGGGAGAGAGAAAGAGAGCGAGAACGAGAGCGAGAGAGAGCGAGAGAAAGGGATAAAGAACGAGAACGTCAAAGAGATTGGGAAGACAAAGACAAAGGACGAGATGACCGCAGAGAAAAGCGAGAAGATATTCGAGAAGACAGAAATCCAAGAGATGGACATGATGAGAGAAAATCAAAGTGAGAATAGTTTTGAATCTGCTTTGAAAAGTTACATTTCAGTAAAGAATTCAGAAGTTTCCTTTAGTGTTTTTCAGTGTGCCTCTTAATTTCTTGTTAATTCTTTTCACTCTACATTTTCCTGTATTTCAAATTTATATATTTGGTGTTTAAAGTCTTTTTAATTGTCTAGAAAAAAATGATTTTTTAATTCTATTTTTGTATTCAAGAGCTATAATTAATCCTTCTTGTTTACTATACATTTTTAATAGCACGTGGGGTTGACTTGGCTGCTACAGACTTTTTTTAAAACAGGAATCAGCGAATTTGTATCTCATCACATCCCCTTTATAACTAGCTAATGGTGTTGACTAGTCTGCAAGAGATATTGCCCGTGCCATTCCTGGTAATCTTTCATGAGTTTTGTGTGCTTGTAACTATGGAGTCACCACCCCCAGGCTACAGGAAGCATTCACAGTGACTTAGAGCTGAGTGAATCTCTGTAATCACTGCATGGCCAGAAGAAGCTGGGAGAAAAGGAAATGCCCCTCTTGTGCAGCAGAGCTATAGTAATTTATTGGGGTCAAAAGATGTGTTCTTGGCATCTCATAAAATAAATCTGAGGGCATTCTCTCCCCTTCCCTCCCCCTTCATCCTAAAATAACTTATTTGCTCAAGTATCTGGGAAGTGGAGAGTTAGCTTTTTTGCTTGTTCTGATGTGGCTGTATCTGAATTCTTAAACAAAGCATTAGGAATGGTATCCATCTCTTTACTCTTTCACTCTGTGTTAGTTCAAATCTCAGAACTTTCTCCAAATGGCCCCAGGTCATCCCTTTCAGCTTAGCAGCCCTGTCTGTGTTGGGGCTTTCATTAGTTGAGGGGCAAACAGTGATTGGCTGAGCCCATCATTGTGGCCATAGAATTCTGGACTCTTATTGGTCAACGTTGAGGTTTTACAGCACAGAATCTCATGTCTACAGTCAGTCTGACAGTGTAGTTGGGCCTGGATGGCCCAAGATGGTCTTACTCACATTTCTATTAATTAGAGCATCTTATTTCTCTTCTGAATGACCACCTGGCCTCCAGTAGTCTAAACTCTGCGTTTCCATGTAATGGTAAAAACAAAAGAAGGCAGAAGCAGAAACTGCAAGGCTTCTTGAGTCTTTTTCAAATTTGCAATGTCAACTTTCACCACATTCTTTTGTCATAGCAAGTGGCTAGGCCAGTCCAGATTCAAAGACTGGGGAAAACAAACTTTATGGGAAAAGCTTTGGATAAGAACGTATACAAGCTTGAGAGGCCTATGAGTCATCATACTACACCTGGGAGCCATCTCCTTGTCCACATAGTTGTTCATGTATATAAAGGAGCTGTCCAGGAGATACATGTACAGTGTGTTTCTAACTTTTGACCATAGTACTTACAAATAATGTTAGTAAAAAAAAAAAAAAATAAGGTAGTTAAAAATTTAATAAAAATAAAGGAAAACGCTAGAATAATTTAAGTACTCAAAAGATATGAATCACTATTCATTTAAATCCCAACTAAGGAACAAGAAATACAATAAACATATGAATTATGTATTAATCTGTCACCAAGCAAGTGATTTAGTTCTAAGAAGGGGAGAGAAACAATACAGCCTACCCACAACATGCCTGGCACAGAGCTTACGACATAACTTGTTTATTCCTTACTGCAGTTTTATGAGATGGACTCTCATCTTCCCTACCCCCATTTTCAGATGAGAAACAACGGTTCGTGACTTCAAGGAAGTTGCTTAACGTTGCATATAAGTAATGTGGCCATAAGTTGAACTCATAGCTTTTTATTCCAGAGCCAATACTAGACTTCCTCATGTGGCTTTCCAGCATAAGGCGTTTTTATATCATAAGAATGTAAAATTGATGAATACTTGTATTAGAGGGTACATTGATATATTGATTTCTCTGTTTCATATTACCACCTTGCAATATTTAAAATCTAGAAATTTTAGTTGAGTGGTTCTACATGTATAATGAAGAAAGGAAGAAATGTTGTCATATATTTTAAGTTCACAGTTATAAGTCTTAACAGATGAAGTAAAGAATTTTATTAAAGATAGTAAACACCCATTGTGTGACACAGTTCTGACAATACTGATTTCTTACAATTATATGTTCTAGTTATACTAAAGATAAAAAACACAATAAAGAAATCTCTTTTTTTGCCTCTGACATTTTATAAATTGCATTTGCTTGTCCAATTTAGGAAGCGCTACAGAAATGAAGGGAGTCCCAGCCCTAGGCAGTCACCGAAGCGTCGGCGTGAACATTCTCCTGATAGTGATGCCTACAACAGCGGGGATGATAAAAGTAAGCAGGGTCTTGTTTTCTATGTCTCTACATTCATACTCATTTGTAACCAAGAGACTGTTCTTTGATCTTAGTAGGAACTGGTGAATTAAGATTTTTTTGAAGCTTTATTGCTCTGCTGCCTCTGAATATCTCCTTTTGGAACTAAAGTATGTGTTAGAAATATAGTCATTTTATTACAATAGCACTGTTATTTCCTACTATTTTTAGTAAAGTCATGTATTTTTACTGATATTATTGCCATTTAAAAAGTTTTAAAATGAAAACTGAGAGATTGGCTTATTATTTATATGTAATGTATAATATTTATTAACCTGGTAAAAGTGTGATTGCTTTTGTCTTTTATACAGATGAAAAACACAGACTCTTGAGTCAGGTTGTACGACCTCAAGAATCTCGTTCTCTTAGTCCATCACACCTCACAGAAGATAGGCAAGGTAGATGGAAGGGGGAGGATCGGAAACCAGAGAGGAAAGAAGGTTCAAGGCGCTATGAAGAACAAGAACTCAAAGAGAAGGTTTCTTCTATAGATAAACAGAAAGAGCAAATGGAAATCATGGAAAGCTCAAGAACACGTGCACAGGACTTTATAGGACACCACCAGTCTGAAGATCGAGATACATCTGATGGAACTCATGATGAAAACAAGAAAAAAGCAAAAATTCTAAAGAAACCTATTAAGAAAAAGAAAGAGGATGATGTTGGAATAGAGAGGTGTAACACAGAGACACCATCTGAAGATATTCAAGTGTTTTCACCTAAAAAAGGGCAGAAGAAGAAAAGTGTTGAAAAGAAACGTAGAAGATCCAAAGGTGATTCTGATATTTCTGATGAAGAAGCAACCCAGCAAAGTAAGAAGAAAAGAGGCCCACGGACTCCCCCTATAACAACTAAAGAGGAATTAGTTGAAATGGTGAATGATAAAGATGGCTCTCTAGAGGATACCCTGAAAAAAGAAGATATAGCATTTAGTGACTGGTCTGATGAGGATGTGCCTGACCGCACAGAGGTTGCGGAAGCAGAGCATGCTGCCAGCGCTACTACTCCCGGTAGCACCCCTTCTCCTCTGTCTTCTCTTCTTCCTCCTCCACCTCCTGTGGCCACTGCCACCACTACAGCTGCTCCTGCCACTCTTGCCACTGCTGCTACTGCTACCACCTCCTTCAACACATCTGCCACCACCATTTCTAACTCTGCCGCCACCACCAGTTCCGCCAATGCTACTTTTGCCAATGAAGACTCACATAGAAAATGCCACAGAACACGAGTGGAAAAAGTAGAGGCACCTCATGTTACTATAGAAGATGCACCACATCGCAAGCCAGTGGATCAAAAGAGAAGTAGCAGCCTTGGGAGCAATCGGAGTAATCGTAGTCATACATCTGGCCGTCTACGCTCCCCGTCCAATGATTCTGCCCATAGAAGTGGGGATGATCAAAGTGGTCGAAAGAGAGTACTGCACAGTGGCTCGAGAGACAGAGAAAAAACAAAAAGCCTGGAAATCACCGGCGAGAGAAAATCTAGGATCGATCAGTTAAAGCGTGGAGAACCTAGTCGAAGTACTTCTTCAGGTAATAAAATCAGATTGTGATCTAGTCAGTGTTTCTTATGTTAGTATATTTTTTTATACAGATTATAATTCTAAATTAATACTAAATTGGTTACTTTATATACCACCTTAAATTTTATGGAACTTTTAAAAAAGCTTGGCTGTCCCATTAAAATGTTAACCTGTTATCACTTTAATACCAGCATTATAGTAGAAGTACATTCAGTGGTGTTAATCAGTTTAATATCAGGTTTTTACTAATATATCTTGGTGAAAGGGCCTATGGGTTTAAGTCCCTTTTGGATGCCTATGATTTTCCCACTAGTCTTCCTACAGCCAGTACTGCCTCTTTTGACCACAGAAATAGAGAGGAATAGGGAAAGATCAAATAATGAAGTAATCAGTTCTATTAATGCCTAACCATTTTATTATTTATTTCTTTGAAGATATTTTGTGGTTATAGTGGATATTAGCACTTTAATTGACAGAGATCAGTTTTTCCTTAAAATGAGTTTTTTAGATATAGAGAAAAATGTATACATAGAATGTAAAAATACATAGAATATGGAAAAAGATAAATTGTGAGTTTTAAAGGATCCTAAAATGAAGCATTTTTTTTTCTATGTTATCATGTTTTAACTCTTTGTGTATGGTATATTTATTTTAGATCGCCAGGATTCAAGAAGCCATAGTTCAAGAAGAAGTTCTCCCGAGTCAGATCGACAGGTCCATTCTAGATCTGGGTCATTTGATAGCAGAGAGAGGCTTCAAGAACGAGATCGATATGACCATGATAGAGAGCGTGAAAGAGAGAGGAGAGACACAAGGCAGAGAGAATGGGACCGAGATGCTGAAAAAGATTGGACTCGGAATAGAGATCGCGATAGACTGCGAGAACGAGACAGAGAACGAGACAAAAGGAGAGACTTGGATAGGGAAAGAGAGAGACTAATTCCTGATTCTCTTGAAAGGGACAGGGACAGAGACAGAGACAGAACTTTTGAGAGTTCTCAAATAGAGGCTACGAAGCGCAGTGAAATAAAACTGGAGAGTGAACATGAGCGAGACCTAGAAGGCACTTCCCGAGACTCTGTAGCTTTGGATAAAGAAAGAATAGATAAAGATCTGGGATCTCTGCAGGGATTTGAAGATATAAATAAATCTGAGAGAACTGAGAGTTTGGAAGGTGAGTGCCACACCCCTTTATCTGTTATACTGATTTATTCCTTTTCAGATTTCATGGGAAAGTGCTATTTTCTTTTGATAGGTCATCTACTAACAGTCAAAATGACTCCATTCTTTTATAGAGGAAGTAGAATTCATAAGGAAAAGCCCTATGATATTTAAAAAATAACATGTTCCCCTCAGTAGTACCATCAAGGCAGATTTGGTTCAAATAAGCCTAAATGAAATAAGAGATGCTTAAATGCAGTGTCTATAGATGTTAAAGTGTAATTGTCACTTCTCTTTCTTAGATGTTAAAGTCACAAAAATTGAAATGACTTCTTAGTTTGGAGAGGGATTTAAATAACTATTAGTGGTCCCTGTTTTCTAAGGCAATGGAGAATAAACATATGAAATAATAACATTGACTGAAACCATTATACTTATTTTTCCATGGTTTTCTCCTCCACTATACTGTACTTGTTTGTTAGGGACCATAACTTTTCATTATTATCAAGACTATGGTCAGGAGACAATAAATGGCTGATGAATGAAGATGTGTTCTGCCTGTACTACAAGCCTCCCACGTGTTATTCCTTGGTGAATTTTAACCTAAGTTAACAGTAGTAATGGCTGCGCTGAGAATTCTCCTGGAACTGCTGCCTCCTTGGGACTGTTTAGTTCTCGTTTCAGTATTTACACCATTGTTCTGAATAACCTCTCCATTTCAAGCCTCCAAGAACCTTTGATATACTTAATATATAAGCAATATGTTGTTATTTTTATTTGCCATATAACATTATAATATTAGGCCCATAGTAAAATCTGCTTTTAAAAGTAGATCATTATATCTCTGTTATCTGATTAGATAGATAGATATCTCAGTGTTTCATCTGTTATGTATTTTTCCTATTTGACTTCTCAAAACCATTTCTACCTCAGCTTTCTTCACTTTTCATTTTCATGTCAGTTTTAAGTATAGCATGATTTGAATATAGCAACAAATCATGAGCAATGGTTCTAATGGATGTACAACCTTGGGATTTAATAGAATATGATGGAACTAATTATTATATTAGCTCTCTTGTGACTGGAAGCAGTGTCCCTCATCTCTAAAATATATAATTTGTTAGTTATAGTCACAGACAATATAGCATAGAAATACATAGGTGAATCACCTGTTGTATGATAGGAAGATTTTATTCACATGAAGTAAGAAAATGAGTTGCATAAACTTGAAAAATTAAAAATCCTATCATGTGCATTTGTGTGTAGATGTATAATTTATATGACAAAATTATAAAAATCTATTACCTTAGAGATGAGTTGATGGGGATATGAGTTTATTATAGAATTTAATAGACTAGAAAATTATTAAAATGACTAGAAATATAGCTTATATTTTATATGCTGCACATTCATACCCATAAAGCATACTGTTATATTTTGAAAACTAGTATTGTAGATTTGGTAAAGTGTACACGTAGCCAGTGATTAGAATTATTAAATGTACTCTATAGTTATTAAATGTACTCTATAGTTTTAGGATTAAGTTGAAAACTAGCTCACCAGGAGATGAAATGTAGCCTAGGTAGTTGAGAAAAGTTGACAAAATAAAGAAATAAAAGGTACACTGGTGGTACTAACAAAAAAATATTCAGTTATATTACAGCATTCTAAAAGTTGCATTCATCAGTTTAAAGCAAAATATTGGTATAGGGAAGAGGAATTGGGAGTTGGGGGAGATTTAACAGCACTTTTGCTTTTTTACCTCACTGCTATAAAGTGTATATATTGAGCTAAATATTATGAGCTAAGATTTAAGTTTCAAATAAATTTTTTAATAAGTTTATGAGTTTTTTCATTAATAAGTTTAGGTAAAAAAATTACTGCAAACTTTTGAAGTTGGTAGAATTGTTTTAAAAAGTTTTATTATCAAGTATTAATATAATACAGAGTCAACATTAATGTTAGTGGTAGCTTATATTTGTCATATTTCAATTATAATCTTATAACCTGTTCTGAAAATTGCTGCCCATATTGTATTCTGGCCATTAAAATTGCATTTAACTAAAAATTTTATATGTGGTTTTTCTTTCAGAATTTTCAAGTGTTTTCATACTTACGAAACACAGTTTTCTGATGGAAAAAATGCTTTTCACATTGTTTTAGTGTACATAGCCTCTACCTTTAGGTTAGATTTAGACATTTCTTCTCCTTTAATGCTGTCTTTGAAATGAAATTAATTTGTCTATTTAGCAGGTGATGACGAATCCAAGTTAGATGATGCACATTCATTGGGCTCTGGTGCTGGAGAAGGATATGAGCCAATCAGTGATGATGAACTAGATGAAATTCTGGCAGGTGATGCAGAAAAAAGGGAGGACCAACAGGATGAAGAAAAGATGCCAGGTAATCATTGGCAGAGGTGGTTGGACATAAAAATTACCTGATTTATGGTTAAAACATTCTTTGTTCCCTTTGATGCTATAGGAATTGATATAAAGCACTTAGAATTTTCCCCTTAATATTTTAATTAAGATTGAAAAGCCAGTAGAATGAAAAATATAGTATATATACCTGCTCATTTTTAGTAGACATTGCCTATGAATTAGAAAGGACTTTATTTAAAACAGCAAAATCCTAAGAGTTTAAGATGTAAATTACATGACCTGGAATATAACCAAATACTAATTGCCTAATAGTATTCTAAATGGTTGGTATATGGTACAGAGCTTCACAACTATGGTGATGCAAATCAATGTTTTGAACAACCTTTTAAAAATTTACAATAGTTGAAATTATATTTGAATACTATTTATGTACCTCATTCTATCATTTTTGTAAATTTTATAATTATTTTGACTTATTGTACTTTGTTCACTGCTAGAGCTCACTCTAATTACTACACTGTAAAACAACACCTCTGGACATTCCTGTCAGATCATCCCAATTAGTGTCTGATTGTTACTAACAATTTTTTTTGTCATAATGAGAGTCTAAATTTTTATTTTGATTTAATTTACTCTTATATTTCTTAATTTTTTTCTATTGATGTAAAAGGTGTGTATGATTAGTTATCTTTGTTATGTTCTAGTATTAGGTATTTCTAATTAGAACATTATTTTATTTCTTCAATTATTTCTTTACAATGGTTGGATTATTTGCTCTAAATGTTAATAATAGTTACTGTCCAATTCTTAAAGGAATTTCATGATGAAATATTTGTTTTTAAAAATTAAAATATATGTGTATACACACACATGCTGCTAGATTTAGTTCTTAAAAGGATTCTGGTACCAGGTTTCAAAAAACATCAGACCATATCTGAGGGAAATAATAGAATTATTTCACTGGGGATGTTCCATATAATTTAAATGAGTTATTGTAGGGGCAGGTTACCTTGCCTGATTTCTTATTAGTGAGAAGATTTTTTATGTGTGAGGGTCTTTAGATTTTAGATATTATATGTGAAAAGCTTTAATTTTAAGAGTATCTATCTCTTAGATTTTTGGTTTGAAGTACTTGTTATGTGAGGTTTTCTTTGTTTTGCTTGATTTATATTTCTCTATAGATAATAAGATTGCTATTTCTTGCTGTAAAAAAGAAATCCTATTTTACTTTTTACAGATCCCTTAGATGTGATCGATGTGGATTGGTCTGGTCTTCTGCCAAAGCATCCAAAAGAACCCAGAGAGCCTGGGGCTGCACTCTTAAAATTCACACCTGGAGCTGTTATGCTGAGAGTTGGGATTTCTAAAAAGTTGGCAGGTTCTGAACTCTTTACCAAAGTCAAAGAAACATGTCAGAAACTTTTAGAAAAACCCAAAGGTAATTTCATTTTAGTATATAATGTCTGTTCTAACTATTGGGATGCCATTTGGAAAGGATTCTGTTCTGTTCTTATGTAACACTTCACTTATACTATAGGTACTTTTATATTTTTTCAGGAATCATTTATAGTCATTATTTAATCCTCCTAGTCAAAATTTCCTTTTAAAATTTATTTGGAGAAAAATTTAATTCCATGAAAAGTTGCAAAAAGGGTACAGTGAACTTTCTGTATTAAAATTACTTTTTAACAGAAATGTCAAAGTGCTCAATAGTTTACCCAGGGCTAAATGAAGCAGAACCTGGAAAAATAGACTGGTTACTTTTCATGTCTAAAGAAACTGGGAGTCTTGACAAACCTCATTCCTGGGAAATAGGAAATTCTATGTAAATATAGATATCTGCATTGAGCCTTTAACAAAGTGTTCTGACCACCAGATGGTCTGGATTTGAGTAGGCTTACTGCCTACTAGCTATTATTTAATATGTGTGTTAGTGTCATCATCTGTAAGCTGGGAATAATTATACCACCAATGTCCTATGGTAGTTATGAGGAGCAAATGAGTTATTACAAGTAAAACACTTAGAACAGTTCCTAGCACTCAATAAATATTAATTGCTACTATTAATATTTATTTTGAAAATGTTTTATCACATTGATTTTTTTTACCTTATTGCAACAACCTTCAGTTATTCCAGTTTATTTAGTTTATGGATTCTGGTTGGTTGGTTTTGGGGTTTTGGGAGGGTGTTTTGTTTGTTTTTTTGCTGTTTCTCTTATCTAGTACCTACCTTAGTTTGTTTTGCAGCTTATTAAGACTTTTATTAGTGGGGAGGGAGGAGTAGGTGGTAAAAAGAAAGAAAAGGAGATAAAAAGTGAAAGCAACAACATTATTTAACAATTTTATATCATGTTCCAGGGAGTAAAATAAAGAATTGAGTTTTTTATTAATATAAAATTGTTTTATGAGTTTTATGAATCCATGTCCTGCCTTTCACCTGTTAGCATAAGCAATAAAATTTTATTTTAGTATGGCCTAATAAACATACAGTATATATGTATGAAATATATATAAATTATAATTATGAACATGTATTAACCTAAAAAGTGACCAAAGACTTGGATTCTTGCCCCATTGTTTCTGTCTTATTGGGTTGATTCTGTGGCCTTAAGCAAGTAGCTCCTATGGGCTTCAGTCTTACTTGTAAAGTGATGGAATAAAACCCCTAAGATCTTACAAGATCTTATCTACCTCTAAAGCCATTTGCTCATGTAACTTTTGCTAAAGGCATTCCAAGTTAAAATCGAGTTTGATTTTGTTAATTATGAAATGCAGTTTGGCCCTCACTTAATGATGACTTAACACATAAATAATGAAAACATAGACACTATAAGGAGGTGGGGGTAATTATTGCTTAACAATCAGACCTCCCCTATTTTTTGCTGCTGTGGTGGTTGTGTTAGAGAACTGATACATTATGTTAAATAGGACTTTATTTTGTTACTGCCATATCCAGGGTCTAATTATCTATTCATACTAATTAAGCCATTGCCTAGAACAGTGTCTGACACATAGTAGGTATTTAGTGAATATTTGTGAAAAATTGATACTGATTTTTATATTCCATTTGGTCTATTCCAATATGTAGCACGAAAGAAAGTAAATCCATGCTCAGCCCTCTCATTAGGTGATACCCTTTACCACCTCAGAACTTGGCCGAGAGTCCCACCAGCAACAAGGCCCCCATCAGATGTAGCCCCTTGACTTTGGGTTTCTCAGCCTCCAGAACTGAGAAATGAATTCCTTTTCTTAATGGATTACTCAATTTCAGGTATTCTGTTATAAACAGCAGAAAATGGACGAAGACACCATCATAATCTCATCTTCATATATTCCATTCTGCCTACCTTCCCCTCTCTTTACAGCTCTAGTACTCTGATTTCAACAATCATTTCACCCTCCACTCAAACCTCCAATCCATTGATCCTACTAACTGCTCCTTGTCCCTCACCTTTCCTTCCTCTGAGTTCCCTCCTTACCCAGTTTGCATTCCCTGGTCAATCATTATATATGCTCCATTCCATATATCTTTAAGTCCCTTTTCTCTTCTTTCTTTTATATACTCATTGGCAAAAGCCTGACCGTGGTCAAATCCAACCTTGCTCACTCTGTGCCTAGATCCTGACAGCTGAACGTACCCAGAGAAAAACACACAATCATGCGGGCTGGCATTTTAAATTCATGATCATACCCTTAAGTGGGTCCTTAGTGCTTCCTGGTAATTGTATCATATATTCCCAGACTAGTGCTGTCCTATACAACTTTCTGCTATAATGGGAATATTCTATTATCTGTGCTGACCGAAATGACAACCCCTAGCACATATGGCTACTTTATATTTACATCTAAATAATTAAGTGAAACTTTAAAATCAGTTCCTTGGTCATATTAGCCACATTTCAAGTGCTAAATAGTCACATGTGGCTCGTGGATGATTATTGGATAGTATAGCATAGGCCCTTCAGTCTCCCACTCCCCTAGATGACTATTTCTCTTCCAGTCCCCAACACCTTCTACAGACTCCCACCACTCCATCTGTCTGCTTATACCAACATCTGTACCCATATAGTCTGTCTTCTCGCCTGTTGCTGTAGATCAGTGGTTCTCAAAGTGTGATCTGAGGACTTCTGGGAGGCTATGAGGCCCTCCTGTTTCCAGCTACATACCTGTGCAAGATTGGGTTTTCTCCACATATATTTGTCTTCGTCCATTTGTGATGCTAGAGCAGGATGTCTGAGACTGGGTAGTTTATTTCTCACAGTTCTGGAGGCTGGGAAGTCCGAGACCAAGACACTGGCAGGTCTTGAGAGCTCATTGCTCATATTAATAGATAGCACTGTATAGGTGTCCTCACATGGTAAAAGAGACAAAAGGAGTGAAAAGGGGAGAACTTCCTCCATCAAAGCCCTTTTATAAGCCCTTATGACTTCTAAAGGCCACACTTCTGAATACTATTGCATTGGGGATTAAGTTTCAACCTGAATTTTGTAGGGAACAAAAACATTCAAACCATAGCATATACAAAAGATATACAAAATTATGATACAATGCTACTCTGTTCACTAAGATTTTTTTATTTTGGCAAACGTGTTTATTTTAACATGTGATAGTTCTATTATTGCTATTTTATAATAAATATTTTTAAGTTTATGAATTATAAAGAAAAGAAAAGGAACCCCCCCATATATAATTTTTAAAAAAAAACAAAAAACAAAACTACACTTACAACAGAAAACCTATTAGTATACTGAAATTGAAATTGCATTTGTCTAGCTCGTTTCATTTGTTTGTTTTTGAGACAGAGTCTTGCTCTGTTGCCCTGGGTAAAGTGGCAAGTGGTATCATCATAGCTAACTGCAACCTCAAACTCCTGGGCTCAAGCAATCCTCCCACCTCAGCCTTCCAAGTAGCTGGAGCAATAGGCATGCACCACAATACCCGGATAATTTTTCTATTTTTAGTAGAGACCAGGTCTTACTCTTGCTGAGTTCAAGCAGTCATCCCACCGTAGCCTCCCAGAATGCTAGGATTATAGGCATGAGCCACTGTGCCTGGCCTGTCTAGATTTTTCTATAATAATTGCACCTTGGTTAAACTTTTCCAATCATTTTGGTTCTTTTGTTTTACTTGTTCTTAAAAATGAGATAAGTCTGTCTCTTGAGTAATTTGGTGCTGGTCAGTTCAAAACCATGAAGAGACTGGAAGTTTAGCAATGTTATACTCTCTAGGGAGATTTGCAGGTGTGCATTTTGTATTCTGTTGTAAAAGCACCAAATGAGGATGCCAATAAAGAAATTTGTCATAATGAGCAGATTTTAAGAAAGGCCATAGGATCAATCCAAATTTCTTTTATATTTATATCTATGGTAAGATGGTAATTAATGTTTTTGTTTTTAATCATATACATACATGACTGTGTCATTGGTTGGCTGAAACGTTGGTGTATCTGAATTAGCTGAAAAACTGCCGTTTTTTTCTGTAAGGTATCTTGGTCCAACTATGGAGATTCAGATTCTGTAGATCTGGGGTTGAGCCCAGGGAATGTATTTTAAAAAGCTCCTCAGGTGATTCTGATAGGCTTCAGAGTTTGGGAACTATTTTTGAGTTTTTCTGTATACTTACTCTTCTTAGGTTATATACCTACTAACTAGGTAGGTATAATATATAACCTATTGACTATGTATGTTACATGAGACTGGTTTATTGTTAATTATCTAATATCAGTACTCATGCTTTGCAGCTCAGAAAATTAAAATGAACTATGTAATGTAGCATTATGCATTTCCAATAAAATGTGTTTGTTCTGTTTTTACCTGTTTGATCATGTTGTATGAATAGAGGCAGTAGTACCTGCTGTCTTTGGTACTCTTGGCCAACTCTTAGAGTTATATATTTGGATTACTGGCTGGTGCTATTTGGTTGTTTTGACTTTTTTGTCTGTTTTTAACACAACCTCCTTATTTTTTATAAAATCTTTCCTTTGTGTTTTATATGTTCTGTGATTTCTCTGTATCTTGCATGTTGTAACTTAAAACTAAGCAATTTTAATTTAATGCATTGTCCTAGGTTTTTATAGTGACCAAATCTAGAACAAAATTTGTAAATTGGTCTAATACCTAATCACTTTGCTAACTTAAGTGACTTTTAGAGGTTACAGTCTTAAATATTATTACATTTGAATCTTGTTATAAAAATGTCCTGAAACCTAAAACTTTAAGTAGTAGTTGATGGTACACAATATAATAAATTTGACTTCAGTGATTCTTGAGCTTTTCTTCTTGGTCTTAGTCAGTAATCAGTGTCTAAATTCTCTCCCCAATTTTGTTTTTCTTATATTTTAAGCAAATTTAAAGTAGCTATCAAAGTATTTATTTTTGTTTAAGGCTAGTAAAGCAACTACATGTTGAAGGTCTTCACAGAAGATATATTGCCTTTAATATGAAATAATTTTCACCAATGTTACTAACTTTGATAAAGTATAGACTTTGTAAAATATTCAGTTAAGTGGTTGGTAATACTTTTCTATTTTAGGAAAACTTAATGCATGCTTATTTTTATTGAAAGATGCAGACAATCTTTTTGAACATGAATTGGGGGCCCTCAACATGGCTGCGTTACTACGAAAAGAAGAAAGAGCAAGTCTCCTTAGTAATCTTGGACCATGTTGTAAGGCATTATGCTTCAGACGGGATTCTGCAATCCGAAAGCAGCTTGTTAAAAATGAGAAGGTACTGTTGTTTCCTTGGGAAAAATGCAAAATGAATAGTATGAATGGTATATTTTACATTTGATTGCTTTAAAGTGAGATTACAATCTTATATTTTTTATGAGTTAGGCTTCCTACCTTTTAAATACTTTCAATTTTACTTCAATAGTATTAGTTAATATTTGCTCTGAATAACGATTAGTTGCTGTTTAAAACTTAATGCATAAAGTTTAAAATATTGTGTTTCTGTGAAATGTTTTTTCATTTTTGAAAAGTTTCTTTCTCAGTAAGCATGTTAGAAATTTATTTAAATTGAAAATCAAGGGGAGAAATTTCCCAGATACAAAATGGTGAGGATATTTATAGGACAAATGTTTATGAGAATGTATGAAATTGAAAGAAAGTGAGAAAGTTGTTATATATAACATTTACTTGAGAAGAATAAAGGGAATTGAAAAGTAAGAGAAATTGAAATTAGATTTGGAAGAGATCTGATAATGAGATCTGGTAAGCCTAAAATGAAAACATTTTAGATTTTTTAAATTTAAGAAACTGGGGCCGGGCATGGTGGCTCACGCCTGTAATCCTAGCTCTCTGGGAGGCCGAGGCAGGCGATTGCTCGAGTCAGGAGTTCGAAACCAGCCTGAGCAAGAGCAGACCCGTCTCTACTATAAATAGAAAGAAATTAATTGGCCAACTAATATATATATAAAAAAAAATTAGCCGGGCATGGAGGCGCATGCCTGTAGTCCCAGCTACTTGGGAGGCTGAGGCAGAAGGATTGCTTGAGCCAGGAATTGAGGTTGCTGTGAGCTAGGCTGACGCCATGGCACTCACTCTAGCCTAGGCAACAAAGCGAGACTCTGTCTCAAAAAAAAAAAAAAGAAACTGGGATTTTTATTTTGGGGTGAATGATGGGCATGAGTAGTACAGGTTGAGTATTCCTAATTCAAAAATCTGAAATGCTTCAAAATCCAAAACTTTTTGAGCACCAGCAATGACCCTCAATGAAATGGTCCGTGGAACATTTCAGATTTCGGTTTTTAAGATTAGGAATTCTCAACTGGGTAAGTAGGTGTAATACAAATACTTAAGAATAAAAAAAAAAATCCAAAATCCAAAACATTTCTGGTCCAGAGCATTTCATATAAGGGATACTCAACCTGTAGGACAAATGAGAGTTGGTCCTAAAAAGTTAGAAAAGCATAAATTTACTAGCTTTTTACTTGGGAACAGTTAGGAAAACATAGAATTATCTCTGGCTAGAACATTGCTACAGAAAAGATTACTTCATTAAGAAAAATACTCAAATTTGAGGGAAAAATTAAATTTATAAAAAAGAGAGTCTGAGGAAATTAAGCCCCAGTGCCCTAAGCCTGTGTGTAATGAATCACCTTTCCTCTGCATCTAGAATGGTACCAGTTATCACCATTCTTGGTATTAAATTGAAAAATAATCATTCAAATCATTTTCTGTTTGGTTCAGATAAAAGACCCCAATTGAGAAAGACTGTATGGTTTACAATTTCATCAGAATCCTGCCTCCATTTTATAAAAAATATTTTATAACTTTCCTTCATTCCTCCTCTATGATAATAACTTTGTACAAAATGCTACTATAGCTCTAAGTTACAATAATATAGATATATATTTTAGTATAACAGATTTCATCAGAATCCTGCCTCCATTTTATAAAAAATATTTTGTAACTTTCCTTCATACCGCCTCTACCACAATAACTTTGTACAAGATGCTACTGTAGCTCTAAGTTACAATAATATAGATATATATTTTAGTATAACAGAGGTAGTAGTCCCTCAGGATACTGTATGATCAGCCATCTTCTAAAGAATTTATTCAGTTGTAGAGCTAACATTAATAGACCAGTAAGGAATGTAGAATGTTTGGCTTGCAAAAGAAAAAGTAGGGCAGTGGACAGGAGTGGTGGCTCAGTGCCTGTAATCCTAACACTTTGGAAGACTGAGGCTGAAGGATCACTTGAGCTCTGAAGCTTGAGGTTGCAGTGAGCTGTGATGACACCACTGCAATCTACCCTGAGTGACATAGGTGAGACCCTGTCTTTAAAAAATAAAAGTGAAGAAGGAAGTCATGATGCTTCTCTTCATGGAATTGAAGGATTGTCAAGTAAAAGTAAGAAAAATTAGAATGTACTTCCATAAAAGAGAGTTTATTTCATCACACGGAAGAAATAATGCCGTTCAACAATAGAATGGGCACTGTGTTTTTTGTTTGTTTGTTTTTTTTTTTCATTAGAAACGATGAAGTAAAACTGGTTGATTGCCTGTCAGAAATTGTTGAAAGGATTCCTATTTAAAACTTTAAGCAAGAAATTAGATGAGATGCCTCTAAAGGTTTCTTTGTTTTTTAAGATTCATTGGGCCCAAACATATTTCCTAATTTTGCTTATAAATCTATTAAAGCTAATTTAGTATCCATGAAAAATTAAGTACTCTTATAACTTTGCTATTTTGGATAGAGGTTAACCTACCTGTCTTTTTTACTGTCAACTTAATAATGTACTTTTTTTTTTTCTTGTTTTTTTTTTCTCCAAATAGGGTACTGTAAAACAAGCATACACGAATGCTCCAATGGTAGACAATGAATTATTACGATTGAGTCTTCGGTTGTTTAAGCGAAAGACTACTTGCCATGCCCCAGGACATGAAAAGACTGAAGATAATAAACTTACACAGTCCAGTGTCCAACAGGAACTCTGTGTGTCTTAAGATTGAAGATCAGTATGACATTTTTGGTACTATTGTCCTTCAGCAGCACATATTCTTCTTAAAAGTTCTTTGGTTTGACAAGCATTATTAGTGACAAAGGCAGCAAAAATTTATCAGCCATGCTGAAGGAAGAACTTTGATCTTTAGAGACACTAGTTTTGGCTAACTTCAGATTTTACATCAGTTTTTACATAGTACTTGATACTCATGCAAAATAATGTGAAAATGTCTAGATTTAGTAGTTTATTCTGTACCTTTTGTTAAAACTGAAGATTTTGGAAAATGATTGTCACTGCTCTTCCAGCCTACGAGTATTTTTTATCAGATGGAGCCATTTATTTATGTTTTGGATCATCCATACAGAAACTACGATTTTATTCAGAAACAATGCGTTCATCAAAATAATTGCACACGTCGTGCAGCAGCATGGTGTACAGAACATTTGAAAGGGATGCTGGTCTAACATGGCGTGTTCGCAGGCAAATCTCCAGCAGGAGAAAGACAGAATATTTCTTTTCCTTTTGAAAGTTTTAAAAACTTATTTCAAGAGTCTTTGTTTTTTTAAATGTGCATGCATTGTTACATTGTACAGTGTATAGTGTTTGGATTCTAAATGATTTTTTTGTTTGTTATCAGAGACTGTGTACTGTTTTTATTTTTAATAAATGTGTCTTTCCTTTCCTTGTTCTAGATTCCTTTGCTCTTCATTAATCTTATTTCCTTTGCTCTTCATTAATCTTATTCCTGAAGTTCTGAAACATTTGTCATCAACATTACATGTTTTAGGCTTCAGATATTTTACTGCCTTGTGTCCTTATCGGACAGCTGTAAATAGTGGGTAAGAGTTGAGGCTATTATTTCAAACATAGCTCATCAGTATTTTGAAGCAAACCAAGAGTTAACAAACCTAGGTCACCTAAGGTTCAGTATCCTACCACCATATTTTTCAGAGCGATAACCTTTGATTACATTAAACTGTCCCCAGCCTTACTGTGTGATACAGATTTACTTTTTAAAAGTATATATACATGTTTAGCTCATGGAGTGCACTCTTAGAAGAATTTGAAATGAACTGCAAGCTGCAGAATTTGTGAGCAAACCATAGTAGTAATAATAATAATAAAGGAAACCAATCAAAATTCTGATTTGAACATGACTCCCACAGGTTTTTGTTAAAACTATAAGCCTATGTTACTTGTTTTAGTAGTTTTGTATCCTGTTCTGTAAAGTTTCTGTTCATTTCAAGAAAGGTTTATTGAGTGGTTAATTTGTACAAGATGCTTATCCACCAAAGGAAATGATCTTATTTTCAGATGACTTTGGTGTTTGTTTGTTTTTTCAAATGACTTTAAACAGAGCGGGGGATGGGGGGAACAAAATGATAAAATTTTCCTGATATCCTTTTCCTTAACTAAATGTTTTAAATAAAGAAAAAAGAAAATTCTTTATGACTCCAGAGAATGAATACCCTTTAGGAAACCATTTCCTAATTATAGTGGATAATAATTGTTCTTTGTAGCATAAAGCTTTAAGTCCTGGAACTTCTAAATCCTATTTTCCAGAATTGTAGAATATGACAGAAATGGTTTCCTTATTTGTCCTCTGATTTTACGAGTAGTCACTAATTATTTATAGAATGAAAACTATATTGTTAAATCTGCCATTTAATTAAACTTATTGCCTTGTTAATTTGGAGTATCTTTTTGTTATGTTGCAAAAGAAAATTTTAGGACTATTCCTTTGTTCACTTAGTCACAGATTTCAGAGCTTTATGTTTCCAGTGCAAATGTACTGATAAGTCTCATTTTTTTTAATCCAACCATTCTCAGTATTAGTGACCATATACTCATAACGTTCTTCCAAAGAAAAAATTTTAGTTAAATTTTTCATAAAAGCTCTTGGACTGTAATTAAAGTCTCAATTAAACCAATATTCCTGGAGACATTTTCCAGGGTATAAATTATTTACTAGTACAGTTAAAGGTCTTCTATCTCATAACTGATGGAACAAGTTTGTCCATTTGCCATAATTGCACAACTGGATTCCAGCTGCTGGTAATAATGGTAGAGAAGGGGGGCAAGAGTATGTCTGGAATACATAATAAAAGAGAGTGTTAACCCATAATTAGCTGTTTATTTTGGCAGCTATCTTCACCATATAGTAAAGGGTTCTGATAATACCTAACTTTTTATTTCACAAAGTGTTGTAAGTATACCTAAGTAATAATACGTTGAAAATTCTGACCTGTCATTTCTCTTTACTCTGACCAGTAAAAGCAGATTATCTTCCCCATCCTATTGTACGCTACATTAGGATTTTATGACTTTATTAGCCTGGAAATTTTTGGCATTGACAGAATGCCACTTTGGCATTGACAGAACATCCCACTTGGTTTCTTACTGTCCAGTTGTGTAAAGCTTAAGGTATATACTATATTGATGCTTTTATTATTTTTTTTTTTTCTTTTTTGTAACAACTTGGATGGAAGATGCTTTTAAACCTCAGAAAAAAGAGGTGACCATACATTGATGGCAGAGCCCACGACTCCAAGTCCAAAAGCACTGTTGCAGCAGTGGCTATAGTGGCTCTCTGGGCCGCAGAAGCTGGACCTGGCTCGGGCAGGCAGTCTGGGCTGGGACTTCGGTTTGGGTGACCAGGAGGTGCCCATGGCCTCGCTAGGCACTGGTGATTTACAAGATTAAAATTAACTTGGTTGCTGATGAGTCTAAACAAATAGTTTTTTTATTTGAGGTATGACATTTTGAAGACTGAGACATTGGAGTTTTATCCTTGAGGATAAAGGAAATCTTGGGGAAGGTCTGTATTTATATAACAGAAATATGAACTCCCAGACTGAATCCTTAAAAGGGCCTGTACAACATGGAAGCATTTACACCTACTCAGCTAGAAGAGCCTCAAATGGACTCTACTACCAAGAAATCAAGATTCCAATCCACTATGGGGATTTGAGGAAAATCGATTAATGTAAGAGTCCTGTGGTAACATACAACCAAGACAGGGTTCTTTTAACATGGATTCCATGAAATGAACGAAGACATAGGTTTCTTACTGAACACAGAAGGACAGTGGATTTGATTTTCTAAAGACTTTTTTGTGTCATTAAAACAAGTACATTTTCGACATTTGGAAAAGAAAAATGGCACATTATGGATAATGGTTTGTATGCTTGGAATTTTTTGCAGTTTGTTTTGTATGACTTTGTGGAATGTTAACTTTAATAAAATCTGTAACATTTAAAAATACAGCCACCACCTGAACCTCAGCTTGCTATTTAAAAATGTGTATGGACCCCTCCTCCCACTTGCAAGGGGTATTCCCCTTTACTGATTGTCCTAGCTAAAATTATATAGCCATCTTTCTAAGTATTGCATTTAAATTTGAACTTGGACTTGCCTTATTTTATTAACATTTCTCTTTAAACATTAAACTATATAATAAAATGTATTCATTAGTTTTGTTAACCTTTCCATTTGAGTATTTTGAATGCAGTGACATATTCTGGGGAAATCCATAGTTTAAGTGGTGAAATAAGGTTTTTATTAACTTTATACGTGGATCTGTGGCCATAATTTCCCAACTTTATTGAGCTTTTTCTTCTTTCAGATTTTCTATCATGTTGTGTTGATATGCATTTTGGTGGACTTCGTGCTTTTGAGTAACTTAGACATTTTTTTCTGAACTAAAGCTCGTTTTCTTTGTGATAGAAATACAATTAGAGTAGGTAAGGTAAAGATGAGAAGTAAACAGGTGTGAATAAAATAATTGTAAATTGCAGTGATTACAGTGAAAGGAAAAAACCAAAGGGCTGACATGGGAAACAATGGAGTAGAGGTTGGGAGTAATACTATTTGAGACAGCCAGAGAAAGTCTGGCTAATGAGATGAGGCCTAAAAAATGAAAAGAAGGCTAGCAAGGCAAAGATCAGGGAAGAGTTTTTCAGGCAGAGGGATGGGAAACTGTAAATGTTTGAACTAGGAAAAGAGCTTTGATACATTCCAAGATTGGATGACTAGTGTGGCTCAGCATAGAGATAGGGGAGAGGTGGGGTTGCTAGAGAGAGGTCTGTAACAATGCTGTTCAGAATTTTCTGCAATGATGAAAATGTTCAGTAGGTGTGCTGCCTAATACCATAGTCAGTAGCCTCATGTGGCTATTAAACACTTGAAATGTAGCCAGTGTGACTGAGGAACTAAGCTTTAAAAATTTTGTTTAGCATTAATTAAATAGCTATATGTGGCTAGTGGCTATCATCTGGGGCAGTGTAGGTCTAGATTTTGGCAAAGACTTGGGGAATATGGAAGTGTTTCCCATAAGGGGTACATAAAATGAGTACTTTTTGTTGAAACTCTTTTATATTTAATCTTACAGTTATTTTCTATTTATGGCAAGTGGTACCAGTTTTTTAAAATTTACTGTAGTAATGTAACATTTCCTTTTAGAATAAATGTTAATGACTTAACAGATTAAGTAGACCAGTTAGTATGGAGATACAACAAAAATAACCTAAGTTTAGAATGTTCAGGCTATATATGAAGTAGAATTTCATATGAAAGCAAAAATAATAGGGGGGAATAATGGAGTGATAAAAGGTGTTCAATCACATCAAAAGAGACAGGCAAAATAGAAAAAGGAATATAGAAAAGGTGGGAAAAATAGAAAACATAGATGTAAACCCAAATGTATTCATAAATTATATTAAGTGAAAATAGATTGAATACTCCAATTAAAAGACAAAGGATGTCAAACTTCAGAAAACAACCACATGTTGCTTATGAGATCGACCTAAACCATGGACCAAAATTTTGAAAGTAAAAGAATGGAAGAAAGATATACATGTAAACATCAAGAAAAAACTATACTAATGTTAATCAGTTATCCCTGTGGTGGTTGCCACAAAGTGGTGATTATCTGATTCCACCATCTCTTCTATATTGGAATTCTGCTTTAAGGATCCCCCCCACCCATTTCTTTCCCCTTATTTATATCAGTATGAACTCATGGATTCCTATTTTATTTCATGGGTTATAATTCATTACTATCCTTACTTTGTTGCTCAAAATGTCCAAATTTTAGATTTGTTAATTTAACTTCTATGTGTAAGTATGACAATTCCAAAATTTAGTGCCTCTTCAGGATCTGTTTCTATAGTTTGTTGTTTCTGTTGGTTCTTTTTCATGTTCTCTTCTCAACTCTTAGGCTTTGTTATGTTTAATGATATGCCAAAATTGTGTTTGTAGAATTGTAGAAAAATATTGAGGTCTAAGATACTGTTGTCCTTTTCCAGAGACAAATTTTTGTTTGTTTCTGCCTGGAGTTACTGTCAGACTGCGAATATCTTAATCCAGTTTTAGGAAGTGAAATTATCTAAATCACCTGGATCACCTGATTCTTGGCTGTAGTTTATGCATGGACACTTTCACCATCATTCCCAGGGTTCAGCCTTTGGGGTCTAGATCCAAAGTGCAAGGGCATATAAGAATCTCCATCCCTAGTGGGTCTTTTACACCAGTGTTTCCTGCCTTCCCCAAGAGGACATCACAACAGACTCCTTTCCAGATTTTTAAATAGTGTCTAGGCAAAATTGACCCCAAATGTCAGGTTCAGCCCCAGAATTGTATCTCCTCCTGAATCTTGGGACAGGATTTCTCCATCATTTTATTGGCCTTTCAATGTTCAAGCTGAATTTTTTAAATAAATATTTTGTCTCGTTTCTCTAGTTCTTAGTGTGAGGTTGGTCGGAATTATCTTGTCTCCTATTACCAGAACAGTTTAATTTTTCTTTATTTCCACTTCATTTAGTTTATTTCTCTATTTTATTGACTCTCATTCCATGCCTTTCACTTTCTCCCTACACTACTTCTGCTAAATCTCAGCTCTTTTGGCAGCTCTTGTTTCTATTTTGGCATCTGAAGATTATATCTGTCTCCTAGGTTCACTGGAAATAAATTTTATGGAGTTTTTTTTACAGTCTTTGCTACTTGTATAAAATTTATAGGGGAAAAATAAGGGAACAGATTTATGCAGCATGTTGCTACTGAAGTCCAAACTAAAATTTAATCCAATGATCACTTCAATTCTCAGCTCATATAGTTCTATCAGGATGCATTCTGTCTTAGATTAATACCCATAATGGATTAATACTTGAAATTAGGATATCAATATGGATGTGCAAATAAATGTGCTTTATGAAATAAAGATTATTTGTTTTAACATCAAATTTATTTATTTGATGTCCTCCTGATAGGTAGGAATCATATTCTCTCTCTTCATTCACATTTCCTTTGTCATAGGTGTACCACATGGCTACCTCCAAAAGCAAAGGAGGCTGGAAAATTAAGTATTCCGCTTTTCTAGCCCCCATAGAAAGTAGAAGTGACCAGAGGAGGTGAGGGTTGGATATAGATGTTAGATTTGCCAACCAACCAATAGTGTCATCCATATTTTCAGTAATAAGGAGAAGCAATGGTACCAGTTCAGGCCTGTTGCTGTCATCTTCAATTCCTAAGACTGAATAGTAGCCCAGAACCCAGAACAATGGGTTCTGACCCTAATTCTGCCACAAACTGGCAGTATGACCTTAAGCAAGCCATTGTACCATGGCTTCCTCATCTATCAAGTAGGCAGGTGGTAAAGGATCATAGAATTTAGATAGAAAGCTGACATGTTTCAAAGATGTGTCAGTTTGCTTGTCAGGAGCCGAGAGCATCATCTAGAGTACAGAGTAGGAAAAGTTCTTGTTTGGCAATGGGAATGAGGAATAGGACAGGATTTTGACTAAGGCAATCCTCTCATGCTTCCCAAACTTGCTCCTGCATCACATGCAAATTTTATTGCAGGGTAGGACTTCAGGGTCAAGATTTTCTGCTACTAGTGTGTGTGTGTGTGTAAAATTAAGAACTATCTCCTTGAATGAGGATTGAACTTGACCTGCTATTAACAAGTAGAATATGGTGGATGTGAAAGTATATAGCTTCTGAGCCTAGGTCATAAAAAGCATTGTAACTTCTTTCTTACATGCTGTCTTAGAAGACTTGCTCTGGGGAAAGCCCAGCTGCCATGTCAGGAGAACGTTTCAAACCTTTTCATGCCGTGTGAAACCAAAGGCCTTCTGGCAATAGTCATTGGGTGAGCCGTCTTGGAAGTGGATCCTCCAGCCCCAGTCAAGCCTTCTTACTCTTTAGCTGAGTTTTTGGTTTTGTTCTTTAAAACTGGATTTGTTTCTTCAAAAAAGGTAAAAGATATGACATTTAAATCACACTTTTTTTTGGTCTGTTTATGTAGTAGCTTCAGAATAAGCAGAATCTAAAGGAGAGCTGGGATGTGAAGATTACTGGAACATGACGTGGGCATCTTCCAACATGCATCCCTCAATCATCCTAAACTCTAGTTGGTTGCAGGATTCTTTTGTAGGTGCAGCTTTATCCAAGAAAACTGGGCCAAATAACAAAAGTTATTCAAATTAAGTGAGATGAGCATGTAAAATTGATGTGTAAACTGTAAAGTACTATATAAATGGAAGATGCCTGCAGCCATCATTTTCATCTCAACCAGTTCTTTATAGAGAATTAGTATGAGCTGAATTGTGTCTCCCCAAAATTCGTATGTTGAAGTTCTAACTCCCAGTATCTCAGAAGGTAACTGTATTTGGAGAAAAGTCTAAAAAGTCAAGATGAGGCCATCAGGGTGGGGCCCTATTCAATATGACTCCTGTTTTCAGAAGAGATAGGGGCACGCTTCACTCAGACAGACAACCATGTGAAGCAGCAGCAAGAGGGCGGCTACCTGCAAGCCGAGGAGAGAGGCCTCAGACGAAGCCAAGCCTACTGGCACCTTGACCTTAGGACTTCTAACCTCCAAAACCGTGAGAAAATAAATTTGTTTTTTAAGCCATCCAGCCTATGGTATCTCGTAATGGAATCCCTAGCAAACTAGTACGGGTGGCTTCTCCTGCTGTCACTTAGCCAATTTGTATATTCCCACAGCCACAGTTCAAGTAAAGGTTTGCAGCATTTTTCAAAACTCCAAATATAAGATGTTTTTAGTAAGCATTGTAAATTGCATTCAATAGCCTTTTAAATATACCACCCCACAATCTAAATACAATTAATCCAACAGTAGTTCATTCTTGCATAATAAATGGGGCAAAACACCCTCCAATGTATACAGGATACCTCCTCTCCTTAGCATTTGCAGGCAAAAAGTGGGGAATTATACCTTATTTCTGATCTCCAGTGTGATAAGAAACATCAGCAGAATTCTTTGAAAATGAGTATGAATAATAATTCTGATTTTGAAGTACACTGAGTTTGGAAACTAACAAAAGCCATCAGAATTATACAAAAACACTTGTTAATACTGAACAGATCTCTTCATTTCTTCACTTGGACCATTCAGCAGCCTCTCGGCT